AAGAAGAAGAAGAGCGAGCAAAACAAAACGAATGAGCCGGCACAAATGCATTTGGGTGGGGTTGGGGTGGTGGTGGAGGTGGGGGGGCTTCAACAGCTGTGTAATCTCCCCATTTAAATTTCACAAGCAATTGAACATTCTCTGTGCTTTTTGTGCATTCCTATTGTCGCGAGGGGAAACAATGAAGATCGGCGGAGAGACAAGTCTGGAGAGAGAGGGAGGGAGAGAGCAGAAGTTTCTTTTGGAGATTAGTGCGACTGCTCTTGCGTGGCCCCTTATATACGGCGCGCAGGGAGCACTTAGGGCGGGGGCCTCCTCGAGTACTTCTCCAAATAATTATGGTTTCATAGTCATTATGCTTTAACGGCCGCCATTTGGCGACGCAGGCACTGTCTGTTACATAAAGTTTCAGAATGGAAATGAAAGTGCAGCGAGGCTGTGTGCTGACGGGAAAGATCCGAGCTGCCAGTTTTTGATAAGCCGCATAGAGAGCAGATGTTGCCGGGCCGACAAATGTATCTACGGAAATTCCATATATCCTCCGCAGAGCGCTCACCTGCAGCCACAGCACTCTGGGAATGTGATACACGTGTCCGTGGCTGTCGGCGTCCATCTCTCCTGCTAATGTCTCTGCATTACTGATTCCTGATGGCGGAGGATTGCATTGTGTTTGACACAACTGAGTCTCTTTCCAGCACAGCAGCAGCAGGCAGTGTCAGTAGAGCAGAGAGGTGAAACTGAATTGTATTCATATGAAAATGTCAAACATTTTTTTTGGCTCAGATTAATTAAATTGTACAAAAATATTCTCCCGACAAGTAAAAGATACACTGTGGAAGGAGGTTTTTAATTAACATTTAAATGAATAGGACAGATATTTCCTTGTGTCATACTAAGCAAAACAGTATAATTCATAATTGTAATAATGGCTGTGTTCTAGAGGGTCGCTTTGTATTGTGTCTGTTGCTATGCTTAAACAGAACAGAGCTATCATCAATGTTATACCTGTGCTTTTATACTATAACGCAAAAATCCAAATGAAAAGCCTATAAGGTGAATAGGTAAAAATGTAAATTCCCATGTCATTTGTTGTTGCATCCCTTGTAGTTGGGAAAAGGGTAGCAACTCTTGTAATGACCTTTTAGCAACCCTTCTAGATAGGTTTGTATCAAAATGAAATGCACATTAACAGATTTAAAAAGAAATGTGGAAAGAAAAAGGTTGTTCCCATCGACTCGGAAAAGCAGTAGGTTGGGTTATTTATTACTTTAAGTCTAACATGATGGTATAATGTAGTGCACTATTTCTGTTTCCATTGCAATTTGTTTTTATTGTCAGACCAACTTTTCCACTCCAGCCATATTTCAAAACTTCTTCGCGATATTCACTTTTTTTCCCCTCAAACTTTCTGCAATTCTATTGAGATTTCTTTATGCTCATAATTTAAATGGATGTGGAGGTGGATTGAAGCACACCTTCTTTCTACCTTATTAACTGTCCCCTCGTAGATGTAGCTGAGCCCCTGACCTTTGCCCTCACCTTGCGGTAGAGTCTGTTCCAGCGGGTGAACAGGGTGTGCTTGCAGAGACGTGAGGGAGTCCCTGCGTCCCGCCTCCGCCCTGTGGATGTGTTGACCGCCTCCAGCTGAACATCGCCCAGCGTCCAGTTGACACTCACACAGGAGGCCTTCCCCGGCTGCTGGTACTCGGCACTGCTCAGCCCTACAGGAACACAGGTGAGAGAGAATTAATTAGGTCAGGAGGACTCAATCTCAATAACAACGCACTTGTGAGTAAAATAAGGTGATTTTCCTGTCACACCTCCACTCTGTTGTTCCGTTTAACCTTCTTTTACCCTTCGCTCACTCCCTCAGGCTAATGGCAGACAAAGTTTTTGCAGTGCTGCAAAAGCCGAGTCAACCTGGGTCTGAATCTGCATGGCTGTTTATCTGAAGCTTTGATATATCCTCAGAGAGGGGGGTGAACAGGAGGGCTGTTTAAGCAACCTTTGTATGAGTTAAATGTGTTTGTATGCCATACATTTCATTTTCAGGTAAAAAGATCTCCCCTAAACTGGACTTTTTGCCTTTCTTTTCTACCCTATTCTCCTTCCCTTTGTGAAATAACAAGCCTCGCTAGCAAAGCACTCGAAGCGATCAGTCGAGGAAATAGAAAGTGACAGAGGTAGAGGAAGAGAGGCGATGATTGACTGTCAAGTAAGCTGTACAAGGTTGTACAACGTTTCTCTGTAACCATAATCCTAATTAACCATTAATCTTACTGCAAATCAAAGACATATTTCGACCCTTTAGGAAGTAAAGTGTTGGACTCTTTTGCCAATTATTGAGTTAGCAGCTAGCAGCCGTTAGCTCACCTTGCATAAAGACTAACCCCAACGGTCTCCCAGTGTGCTAAACCACATTGTGTTTCGTCACTGGCAATAATACAACAGTGCAATACATGAAGGCCTAATACTGCCAGAGACAGTAACATGAAGCATAGACAAACAGAATCTGATCGCCAAGTGCTGCTTGAACACTAATTCCACTCTAAATCTGTAAAACTGTCTTCAAAAAGGAATTTCTGTGGAGGATTTCACCTTGACTTCCGACCCAGTTTTTCACGATATCATGCAATGTTAAAGTACCTTCACAGAAAATGAGCAGACAGATTCTGTGCGACGGGTGAACAACAGTTGCCTCTGATCTCAGCGTCTGACAGACAGCTTGTTATAGTACAATACCTGATGTTCAATACCACGATACATGCCTGCAGATCATCTCCCTGCTTGCCACACTCATTTTCCCGTCTTCACTCTTGCATTCACCGATTTCAGCTCTTCTTTTCTGTAGCTCCTTGGAGCTGGAATGAATTGCCTGCCACAGTCAATCCTCCAAGTCTCTTATTACCCATCTCTTGTGGAGACGCACCTCTTTGAACAAAAGACCTTCCTATCCATCCTGCCTTTTCCCTTTCTCTCGCTCCATTCATGGCTCATTTCACCCCTTCAATGAGGGAAAAATCAAATTGGCTATTCCAGAAACAGAGGAGTCAAGTCCTTTCGACTTGACTCCTCTGTTTCTGGAATAGCCAATTTGATTTTCCCTCATTGAAGACTTGATCAATTTCTCTTCTGGGAAGTGTTTGGCAGACATGAAAGAAGTGGATTTACAGCCTTTGGTTATGGGATTCCTAACTGTACAGTACACATTTACTAATATTTGAGGCCACAACAAAGAATAGCCTGTGTTTAAATGTACATGTACATCCATCCTGTAGCGCATGGTTTTAAAAATGTTCCTCAGGCGTTGGAGCAGCAGCGGCGGAGTAGTGAAGCAACAGGTATGCCAAAAGGTCTGTCTAAAGTGTAGCAACATATTGAGCTTGCTGAGGCAGAAACAGATGTAACTGAAAAGTGACTGGTTCGAATCCCTGAAACATTAGGTAAGAGGGTTTTCTATTCACCTTCAGCAGCACGTAATCGCCAACTGCTTCAAGCTAACAGTTTAACATATACATAAAAAACAAACAAATACAATCTCAAGAATCTAGCTTGTGTACAGGGTCAAGTATAAGGGGGTATAATGTATCTATGAAACAAGCAAGTCCTCAATGGAGTACAACACTGTCATTGAACAACCCTTATCAATGTTTCTTTTATCTACCGTTGTCCTTTGCCCAAAATGACAAAGCCCTGCCATAGTTTCTGTTCTGCGGTGGAAGTGAACAGCAGGACGAGAGTGAAGGACAGTCCATCAATGTGTTTGGCCCTCGGGGTTCAGGTGTAGCGTGATAAGAGCGGTCCCTGCGATCCCCGGGAATTTCCTCTAAGGGCGTTTCTTTTAAATAAACCTGGACACACAATAGCTGCGGAGCTCATCAGAACCAATGAAAGGAATGGAGGAGGTGGGGGTACGCACACAGCCATCTGAATGCAAGCAAAGCTCTCTTTTCGCTTTATTCCCCTCCTGCCTTTCTGTCTCCTTCTCTTCCCCTCCGCCTGTTTCTCTCTCCGTGTCCGACCCCCCATCAGAGTGAATGGCTGTCTGATAAGGGCTGTGATTACATTGATTTGGTGTAGGGCCATCTCCGCTGTCTGTCCATCTTCCTCCCCCTTCCTTCACCCTTCTACCCTTCAATTGACTGCAGCTACTCGAGGTACTGCAGGTGCAAAGCTCTGACGCTTTGCGATGGGTGGACACACAGAACACATTGTGAGGGGTTTCAGAGGTTAAAGAGCATGCCTCTATCATACGGTAACATAAAGTATCCTCAACACTAAAATAAAGAAAAGGAATATTCTTGGAAAAAACCCTGTATAGTCATTTAACCAACTATGTAATTACTTTGAGGTTTATTCAAGTAAGTGTAAGTAAGTGTGATTGATGAAGAAATAGATGGTACTTGACTACAATTATCCAAAAAGTAACAGCAGCTTGTAATATCTGAAACCAAAAACTCCAAACTGGACGACTCAAATGACTCCATTCAAAACGCCATTGAACAAATCATGAGAAATGACTTTCAACACCAGAGGACAATCCGGTACAATTATCAATCTTGATGAGGATAGGCCTCACAAAATATTCATCCTCATGGCACCCAATTACCCGGAGCAGAGCCCTGCGACGCAAAGAGCTCCTGTGCCCTTCAAGAACTATACTTGAAACCTGATAAAAGTAAGGAAGAATGTATCCGATGTATTCAATGTGTGCATTTTAGGGTTGATGTGATGATGATAAATATATACATGTTTCCCAGATTGGGATTGTCTTTGTTCTCTTCAATGATCCCTAGCAACAACATGTGCCCTACATCGCTGCGTGTCTCTGCCGCTCAGCCTCTCTGACTGGCCTAGATCTGAAGTGATGGCTGACGCAGTCTCTACAAGTTGGATGTCATTCAGATCCTCTTCCAGCATTCATCTTCACAACAAACGGAAAGCCTCAGGTCTCCGTGGAGCCCCGGAGGCAGACGCGCCAGACAGCTTCATAGCTGTTGCTTGTCTGGCACAATGTAAGTGTTGAAAACCTGGAGTACATCTGTTTGTTAAGAGTGTGTGTGTGTGTGTGTGTGTGTGTGTGTGTGTGTGTGTGTGTGTGTGTGTGTGTGTGTGTGTGTGTGTGTGTGTGTGTGTGTGTGTGTGTGTGTGTGTGTGTGTGTGTGTGTGTGTGAGAGTGAGTGAGTGAGAAGGTGATCTGTGGTGATTTATTTAATGTGGAGCTAGATTATTTATTAAAAGGAAGCTCTGAAAATAGACACTGTACTCATATGGCCCAGGCTCTCTGTATGGGATGGCCCCATCTGAATACTACAGCCATGTAAAGGCAGGATGTGAATAGAAAGCACATTCTGTCATTTAGCATGTGAATATTAAAGGGAAGTGGAACATTTTTTTAATAAACCACTCTGAAGCCAAGAAAAGAATCGAGCAAGTCAGTTATCCAAGCAGTGACTTCCTGTTTAAGTTTAAAAATGTGCTAAATACACGGAAAGCTGAACTAACATTCCTCAAATGGACCTTAACATGTTGATGTGTTTAAATAGACAACTGTGTGCTATATTAACTTACAAAGTGGAAATATATCAATGGTGTTTTCACAGCTTGCTTCTGCTGCCTCCATTTGGCAGAAAAAACATTTCAATAAAACAGTTTTTTGTGGTTCAACACAGCATATTTGTAATTACTCCAATCAAAGCCCATTTTAGACTTTCCAACAACAACAAGTGCTACGTTTTTAAAGCCAATGTACAATCATTGTGACCATATTCCCATTACTAATCATGGAAACTGACCAAAGCATCAACATTTCATTTTTCAGAAATAGTTTCATTTTTATTATTTTATCTCTTCGATTTCCACACGGCATCTATTGCACGTCTGTCCGTCCTGGGAGAGGGATCCCTCCTCTGTTGCTCTCCCTGAGGTTTCTCCCATGTTCCCTTTAAACTGTGGGTTTTCCCCGGAAGTGTTTCCTTGTACGATGTGAGGGTCTAAGGACAGAGGGTGTCGTATTGTCATACTGATATTCTGTACAAACTGTGAAGTCCACTGAGACAAATGTAACATTGGTGATATTGGGCTATATAAATAAACATTGATTGATTGATTTCAGACAACACATCACTTAAATTCATGGAAGGAAGTTGGAAGAAGTTGGCAGGAGGTTATTTGTTTAATAATTTAGCACTGTTTTCAATGTCTTCAATACCCAAATTGGCACCTTAACCATCTTGATGATTCCCAGACCCCTCCTAATAGAGACCAAGCATCCAGCACCAGCTATAGTTAGAGGTATTGTGCCACTTTCTGGTGTAAAGACTTCCTAAAGTTATTGTTTACCTAAATGTTTTTAAAATTGTACTTAAGACAGACTGTGAGTGTCGTACCGCTGAGCAGGGGCTGGTTGCGTCTGTGCGTGGCGGGCAGGGGGCCAAAGCGCTCCTGCCGCTGGTTCAGAACACGGCCCAGATGGCCAGTGTGCCGCAGGCTGCCGACGGTCACGCTGTGCAGGTACACCGGCTCCACAAAGTGGCTCAGCAGCGCCCCCTGCAGGCCCAGGATGTTCCATCTGAGGAGAAGGAGTAAACAGAGTCAGGGATGAAGCGGAATGATAAATCGGGAGAAGAAGGTGAGAAAGGAAGGAGAAGAACGCTATAAAGAGTGTTTGTGAGGATGAAATGTGTACATAAAGAAATAGGGAGGGAAGGCGCAGTTTGGGGAAGGGAGATAGAATCAGGGTGGGAAAGGAGGAGAAAGGGGAGAGATAGAAGGATATAAAAGAGAGAGACAGATGTGAAAGCTTCAATGACAGGTAGAGACAATTTGATCATTATCTTGATGTGGGACGTGATGAATAACAGCCACAGGACTGACGACACACACAAACATACTCCACGCACACATGCACGTAATCTGACAGACACACGTCCTCTACTCCCATTTCCCCTGGTTCAGAGATACAAACCATCATCACCACCAGCTACAACAACACTGCCAAAGGTCAGTCCATCAGCATTCAGTATGTGGAACAACACATTACCATATGTGCATTCATCAGTGCCATGAGGTTAATGCACTGCACTGGGCTGCAGGCAAGCTTCCGTCGATTGCTCAGTGCGAGGGGCGATCACTTGTTTAGGGAGATCCACGAGTGACACCAAATCACAGTGGGGCTAATCCTGCCAACACCGACACCTGATACTGTAGCCAGCTGGTCATGTGCCACCGACTGTTGAAATCCCCTCTGTTTAACCAGCAGATGCTAATTTATGGATGGAAAATTATAATTACCGTGTTTATTATCATTTCCGCCCTTCATGGAGAGTATAAGCCGGAGCTGTGTCTCCTGTGCTGGACTAATGAACTTATGCAAGGCACAATCACAGGCTCGACATTATGCCACTCGTTTTTAGATAATTGTTCTTTTTGTTAATCAATGTCTCTTTATCATGAATGCAATTACAGCGGCTGCTTGTTTTTTTTGTTTGTTTTCTGTCTCTTGCCGACTTAAGAATCACTCATTACGGCTTCTTTCGCTTCCTGAGCAGTCAATTAACATCAGCGGCTTTCGGGGAATCACTAAACAGGCTCATGATGCAGCCTGCCTACGCTGTACCTGCAATCTGTCAGCAACATCGGTCCTTCCCTCTAACACACACACACACACACACACACACACACACACACACACACACACACACACACACACACACACACACACACACACACACACACACACACACACACACACACAGACACACACACACACACACACACACACACACACACACACACACACACACACACACACACACACACACACAGAACTTCAGTGCTCTGCAAAAACAGAAATAGTTTAGCCTGAAATATTAATTTACCCCGAAAGCGACACCGTGAATCAGAAACATCTTCTAATCTCATGCAAGAAAAGACAGCCATCTGGCTTGGGTGTGTGAAATTTAAAGAGAGGAGAGGGGAGAGACCTCTTCTCTCTCCCTCTCTCTACATCTATCCTTTCTTCCCTCCCCCGGTAAACGGCGACTATTAAAGTAATGTGTTCATCTGCATAAAACTGCAGTGGAATGGAGAACATCATCGTTATATGAAAGCCATTAAGGCCCCTCAATTAAATCCAGCTGTCGACTTCAAATCAAATATTAGCAAAGGAACCCTATCAGGCCTGGCTTAAGAAATCAAAATAATGATCATCAGGTGTAGTCATGGTGGGGTGACACTTTATCAAAAATGTTTATGATAAGAGCAAAGATCTCTATAACTAACTATACTTTAGTGCAGGGGCTGAGGGAAGTGGGGAAATAACAAAGTAATGGGAGGTTGCAAAATGAGAGTGACAGAGGACAAGAAGAGTATCCAGGGGATCACTTTTAGACTGCAGCAGTGTGTGTGTGCGTGTGTGTGTGTGTGTGTGTGTGTGTGTGTGTGTGTGTGTGTGTGTGTGTGTGTGTGTGTGTGTGTGTGTGTGTGTTGAGTCTAAGCTCCTCTCAGTTCCACCCTCCACCCTGACCTTGATAAACTGGCCCTTGGTGACCCACTCACTTTAACGACGGCCACCCATCATTTACAGCGATATAAAAAACGGAGAGAGGGGTCTTTGGAGCAAAAAGAGTTTGTCTGCCGTCCGGGCTGGCGGGGAGGGGATGGTGTAAGCGAAGAAGAGCAGGGTGTCCCTTCTCCCTCCCCCGTCACTCTATTTTTTTGTAAAGTAATTGCTTTCACCCCCGTTGGTGACCTGGGTAGATTTAATCACACCATCTCCAGCCCTGGCCAACTGAATCAAATTGGTCAAATTAACAACGGCTCTACCGGAGAAGGCTTCACCTCTCCCTCAGTGTGCATGTCCTTTCACACACACAACACCGGCTCAGCTGTAGTCCTGCATGGCTCAGTTGGCACAGTGCACAGCTTACTAAGCTTGGTTCTAGTTTTAGTTCCTGTTGAGCCTCAGTCCTTGCAGTACAACTGAGCCCTATTTCAGAGAATGAAACAAAAAGGGTGGAAGTAGACAATTATTATTGTTACCTTCATTGTGTGCAATGTATTTTAAGCTATACAGTCCACTACTTTGACTTAAATATTTTATTTATTGATGGTTCCATAGATGGTTCATCATTAGGTTAAAAATCTCCAGTACTTTAGATTGTAAAAAATAAGAGCCTCAGCTTTACTATGGGTTTAATGTGAATTAGCAAATGTTAGCATGCTAACTAGGGCTGCACGATTTGGGGAAATAATCGAATTGCGATTTTTCTGACAGATATTGTGATTGCGATTCGATTTGCGATATTTGTTTTTAAGCGACCCAACGGAAGTTTATTGTAAAATGCGGCCATATCTCCGGCTGGGAAGGTCGTATCAACGTGCTCCCGTCTCTAGCACCCCCGCAGCCCGAGCTATGAGTGAAAGAACTAAACTTACATGAAACTTCCGTTGGGTTGCTTTAAAGTCAAGCTTCAGTTAAAGATTCACCCTGTAATAGATGTCAAACATGTGATGGAGTATTACTAACCTGACTCAGATGCTTTGTTTCACCAAACCATCTAGGAAAGCTCCATTGGAAGCCATTTGGAAAAGTATTTCAAAAATACTTGGCAGGAGATTGGATCAATCTGTCTATCACCTTCTATCATGGGCCACTTCTGATTGGTTAACAATGACTGGTGCATCTGGAGCACAGCACTTCTGATTGGTGTGGATGACTGACACACAGGAAGAACAAAAAAAAAGAAAGGCTTTGCGATTTGATAATTGCATCATTTCAAATCGCGATTTCGATTTAAAATAGATTAATCGTTCAACCCTTATGCTAACACACGATACTAAGATGGTGAGGGTGGTCAACATTATTTTAATGGTTTGTGCCATTTGTACTTGGCAATCGTGAATCTGGGCTGCGAATGACGTCACAATGGAGTTTATCGCGTTCCAGTCAAGCGGCAAACTCTGGGGAACAGCCGGGACGCCAGTACGGAAGTGCTACACACTGCAGTTCATACATGGGCCGCTAGGGACTGGCTGCAGAAAGGAGCAATTTCACTAGACCCCATGTTAAAATGCCCAACTTTACAGCAGAAAAAAACATGTTTCTACCCATGGATGCACTAAATATTATTATCGATATAGTTAGATTCCACCTTCATCATTATGAATCTGTGAGTGAATTGTTTTCTAACACGACCCTTTTATTTATATTAGGTCTTAACGTTTTTGCATAAATTAGGGCGTGGTCACTTTGATGGACACGTACATGCCTCACTGTCAGCTAACAGCAACTTGTCCACTCTGCTAGGCTACAACCATTAGAGGCTACAACGTTAGTTAGTCATAGTAGGCTACTGTACTTGACCCTTTAGCTTTAGCCGTGTTCGTGGTGATTGTGCCTTTTATGGAATATTGTTACAAATACCAGACAATTAAAATGTCGTGCTGTGCGCTTGAATGTACTAACAGAACTTCCAAGAAGTCTAAAATGATAATATTATACATGTTAATCCCGTTCGCAGGTGTTTGTGTGCTTGGTAGCTTAGCTTGTTACTTACTAGCCAGCTAAGGACGTAACCCTTTATGCATACATATTAGGGGTGTAACGGTTCACAGAAGTCACGGTTCGGTTCGTACCTCAGTTTGGAGGTCACGGTTCGGTACGGTTCGGTACAACAAGAAAAAGCAAAACAAAGTCCCAAATGCATAATTCCAGGTTTGTTGTTATTTATGATTGAACAGTAGTGCAAGTTTCAGTTTAAAAATAAAGAACTCTTTTTTGAATAATGAACTGTATTAAACAGTTAAAAACAAACCATACACAGTACACTCAGATGGCCATATTATCTATAATGGCTGATGTCAAACAAAAAGGTTTCATCAAGCTGTAAAGCTAAAAAGAATGTCTTGAAAATATGACATCATAAATAATAAGAAAGTGTTTCAAGAGCGCAAAGTCGTTGAAAAACATATGCCAAAAGCTTCCGTTATTTATTTTGGTCTCTCGGCTTTCATGTCTATTGGTTTATAAAAACAGCGGGGATCAGCTGTTGAACTGCTGCTGTCTTTTGCCGGGCTCTGGTGATTGGCAAATCTGGGTGATGCCTTCTGATATGATTTAGCATGTTTGGCGTGTGTTACCATTAGCATACCGCACCACTGTAGAACAACGGCGACACACCGTCCTCGTCCGATCCACCACTCGCACACTTAATCGTTATTGTAGTCCACAGGGAACCCGAAATGTTCCCACACAGCTGATTTAAAAGAAGCAGGTGGGTTCTAGCTCCTGTGTGTTATCTGAAATCGCCATACTAACTTTTCTTCTTCTTGTATTTTGTTCGTTTTGTTGTGTTTCTTCTTGTTCTTCATTTGTTGTTTAAGGGCGGCTGGCAAACATCTTTTAGGCGCAATACCGCCCCCTGGATTATATATAGTGTAATGGATACTGCCCTGAATGACACTTTTTTCCCACTCATAAAAAAAAGGCGTATTCGTCGTGTGACTGCGTGTGCCGAACCGTGACGTCCGAACCGTGACGGTACGGGACGAATACGGATACCGTTACACCCCTAATACATATACATTTTAGTTTATGATTCAGCCTTGGGTAAGACTTTTATAGTCTATGCCTATGACGCCCATAATGCTAAACGGCAGCAAATGTTAATAGGGGACCCAATTATCCCAGTGGTGGCCGCCGGAGCTAACGGAGCCGCAGGGGGCTAGCTCCAGCCGGTGTCCCGGAGCTAGCCCACTGCGGCTCCGTTAGGTCCGGGCGGTGGAGTCCGTCTTTTCTCAACGTGTGAATGACAAGCATTAAGAATAACAAAATATAGCTAATTCTCTTGCAGATTGTCTCATTTGATTATGAATGTAACGTTTATATAGGGGAACGACACTGTTAGCAGTAACTTGGTATGCATGTATTTCATGTTAGCTTAGCTTCTTAGCCTGAGCTAGCTCTGTTTACTTCCAGTTCGGAGGCAGCAGGTCCCGCCTCGGCTCCGCCTCTTTGCCCTTATTTGGAGCAGGCGGGATTAGACTCTGACGTCACAGTCGAGCCGTTAGTGGCCGACTCCGCCTACTAAGGGCTTCACGGCAATTCTGCAGAATCCTATGGGTGACGTCACGGACACTACGTCCATTTATATATACAGTCTATGGTTCCAGTACACAAGTCTGAAAACCAAGAGCTAACAACGTTAGCTTTGGAGCCATTGCCAAGCTAAAAACCTGTTGACATCAAACCATTACAAAATATTTTGGGGACCTCTGTGTCTGACAAAATAAATTAAGAGTAATTACTACACATATAAAGTTAAAGTTGAATTCACAAGCCACTCTGTTGCTTAATTCAAACAACTTAATACACAGGAGCTATGTGTTTTCATCCTTAGGCTGGCTGTCTGGTCTGACTTGTAGCTTGTGGTGGCTAATACTAGCTTACTTTAGCAAACCTTAAATAGATATTGCTGTGTAACTGGTTTCACCGACTTTATAACTTAACAGTGTTTATCATTATCCTCTGACACTTTTTGCTACAGTTGGGCAAAAGTGACAAGTTCTCACCTTAAAGGGGACCTATCATGCAAAATGCACTTTTTGATGTCTTTTATACATAAATATGTGTCCCCGGTGTGTCAGGGAACTCACGCAGCGTCAGAAAATAAAACCCTCTCTCTTTTCCTCAGTACCCAAATCTCTAAAAACGGGGGTACAACGGAGCTGATCCAGATTTGCGGCCGATATGACGTAATATCGGCGGCGGACGATATTGCCTAAAAATAGTATGATAGGTGACCTTTAAAGCAACCATGATTTTTACTGATGTGCTTACAGAGATATACTGTATTTAAAACGGAATTAAATGGACAAAAAACAAATAGCCTTGTTGAACATGGTGATAACAGCTCAAATAATAACATATTTAAATCATAAAAAACAGTTATCACCTTTTTTATTAACGTGGCTTACTGTTTCAAACTTAGAACACATAGTTACACAAATGATGTGTGTGGATGCCTCCTCTGCCTGAAAAGATGCTCCAATGTGTACACACCAATGCCTTCGCTCCTCACATATGCGGGCAGTGTGAAAGTGGAGGCGGGAGAGCAAAGCTTCCCTTGTTTACCATAGCCGTCTGTCTTGTAAAGGCTTGCCAACATGCGGACGATACATTAACAATTTAAGGACATACATTTTGTTTTTGTTCTCTGTTTTAGATACAAGTGTTACAGTGACACTGCGGTAAACACATTATTTTAAAGTTTTTGCCATGTTCCAGGTAAATGCTGGTATGGCTAATATAGAAAAATAAACTCACAGATCTAAAGATGCAAACAATAATGTGATTAATACCCTCATTCATTAGAACGGGATTACCTGTTCAAGTGACATATGGGAAATCTATAGTCACCATCCGGACTACACATTTCATATACAGCACGACTCATGGCAACACCAACATGCTATACAAGGTAAATATCAGACAAACCTCTCTGTGGCTCATGAAGCACATTTTTAGAATGCTTTATTTAAACAGGGATTACTGCTTCTCATAAAGAAGATAAGCTGCTAAGAGTTAACCTTTCAATCAATCCTTTTAGCTGTCTTTTATAACAAAGGCCACGGACCTCCTGGGTGAAAGGATTGGTTGATAATTTTGAAAGGAGTTTGTATTAGGGTACCATCTGACCTTTACAATATAATCAACACAATCCCTGAAATATAAAATACAATGCCAGGGAGTAAAAAGGAAAATTATATTTGAGGGCTTTTGCATTAAGGTTGTTTAACTACTCTGAAAATAGTAGCATATTTTATATACTTTATCAAACCTGCGCTATCTTAACAAATCACAGCACAAGAGCCTTTTATCTGTCCAAAAAATTATATATTATTTACAGTTTAAGCTCTCAAGGACATTAATCAGTTTGCAGGATGTTTTGGGGATTTTTGGTTCAATTTACTTTTGAGTCAGAACATAAATAGGGGGTTTAGATTTTTTTTCAAAAGGGTGCCAAAATAGGAGAATGCTAGCTTAAACCCTGATATTATAAATGTTTTGAAGCTGGATGTACATTCGGAGAGTACTGACCTGGTGATCTTGTCGGTGCAAGACATGGTGATGAGCTGCTCGCCCTGTAAGACCCCGTCCCACGTTTGGACGGGCCCCCGACCTCGCACCGGCACCGTCCCCTCTCCTGACTCGATTTTGGTCCGCAGGTGGCTGCGATGTTTTCTCAGGAGGTGTCTGCTGCTGTGAACTGCCAACACAACACAAAGCCTGAGCTTCATCACTCTGCATTATGTCAGTCGCTATTACATGGCTTTGCTTGATACCCAATCTAATGAGCTATTAATGAAGCTGTTATTTCTAAATAACACAAAGTGTTTCAGATCTAATCACGACAATAAGCACCCAAGATTGATTTTGTAGACTTCTGATCTAATTTACTGAAAATGCACCAGGTCACGTTTGTGATCTAAGATGGAACAATTTCCCAAATGCGCTCTTAATAACAGAAAATGATCCATTATGTGTTACACTTTAGCTCTTAAGTGGTACATTCTCTGTATAATTAGGGATGTTTACAGCTACTAATTATAAGAGTTCACGTGTAACTAGCTGCATGTAATTAGAAAACAAGGAATGTTTATCCAATATTGTGGTTATCCAATAAACATTAAAACAATACTATCATATATTTGCTAATACACTGGCACCGTTCTCAGCTATGCAAAACATGCAATTTCCTTTACAAAGCAAAAAGTTTAAATGAGGTTAATAGCTTAATTTAGGGAATTCAATGTATTATTTTGGGACCATTGACTGCCTAATTGTTAATGAAGTAAGCATTTTACTGGCTGTATGGAGGGAAGAAGGAGAAAGGAACCATTTTCCTGGATGAACCTAGGACTGTCTATATTAGGCATGGTATGACAGACTATGGTTACCAACAGAACAACTTCTTAACTTTTTAACCCTGTTAGTGAGAGCACAGGCCCTTAATCCATTTAAAAAACGTTCCTGTGATTCTATGTGGGTGTACAAGCCAGCATGACCTCTACGGGCATTAAAATATGTTAATTAGAGTATACAGTATTCAAAAATAATCTGCATAGTATTAAGTGGAAGGACCGTAATCTTTCAGGAAGAAGCATTGTATCAATTATAGATATTGTTTTTCATGTTTTCAGTAAAATCCCAGTATGGATATCTCCCTAATAGGGTGACAGAGTCTACATAAATAATCAGTGTTTTTGTTTTAATAACCTCTTATTTCTCAAGACTTAAACTCTCCTTCTCTCTTCCTCCATGCTTGCTTTGGCTGATGTGACAGCAGCTAAAAATTAAGCCCTGACTTTCGGCTCAGAAATGTTTTAGAACAGTCAGGAAAAGGTACTAAGTAATATTCTAATCTCTGAGAGCGCACTGCATAACATTTAAGAGGTTTAATGACCAAAAAACGTCAAGTTCAAAAATAATCTACAATGACAGCGTTTCTTTCTATCCTAGTGGTTCCATGAAAATCTCACCATGCACCGCACTGTAGCGTATGTTAAAAGAGCTGAATGACATTTTCAGTTAATAATGAAAGGAGAGGGAGATATATCTTTACATATACATTCTTCTGATCGGATCCTGAGTCCATTTCAGAACTCATAGGCCACCAGAAAAATGCTGGGAAAACCGTATAAATTAATATACAATTTATTTTCAGTGGGTGAGCAATAAAATGTCATCCAGTCAGCACAGCGTGGCTGAAAGAGGCAATAGAAGGGATGTGACATGAAAAGGATGCCAGCTTCTTGACAGTGTGTGGAGAAAAAAAGACCAGAGCAGTGGCTTTCAGAATATCCGCCAGAGAAAAGGATCCCTCTATAAACCTGATGGACTATTATTGATTGCATTATATAAGTAAAACCATTATTGTAAAACCAAATCCAATAAAGGCCTGGTGTCTTACGGTCAGAGGTGATTTCATAGGGCGAGTTGAGCCTCCCGTCCCCACACGGCGACGTGCTGATGTACATGTGGAAATGGATGTTGTCTCTCAACCTGTAGCCACACTCCTTGTGTCGCACAAATATCGACTCCTCCCAGTCTTCTGGTCTTTTACTTTAGAAAAAGGCAAAGAAAAAAAAACAAGTATGAGGGTGAGTGATGAGAAAGGTAGCACCATTCATCACAGCTATAGGATTTTCGTTTCCAATGATGAAGTGAGGCAGGGACACCGAGAGATGGACACTGACCACAGTCCATTCTCCTGCTGTCAGACAGACTCCTCAACATTACTCAGGCTGTCCAAATGTCTCAGGGCAAAGAGGGACAGTCAGTCAAACCTGGGGTCAATACATGCTTTGTATTAGAGTTGTAAAGTGTTGCAATGGAGGTCAACTAAAGAAACGTATGAGTACAAATGTAAAACAAACTTGCAAGAAAATTAGAAATATGTTAAGTGGTTTCACCGGCAGTATACAGTAGCTCATTGCTACCGGTTTGTAGTGTAACAAGTATTCCCTGCTGTAATGCATACCCTGCTTTATCGTCTATTTTACTGCAAATGGGACTATATTTTCTAAAATGAAAAATCATGCTGTAATGAAGTATACTTGAAACCAGCTTTTGAGACCATAAACTCTTCAGGAAAATGTTTACAGAGGTGATAAATCAAGTGAATAGTAGGTCATTTTCTCATAGACTTACATACAATCTGACCAATGGAGTCACCCCCTGCTGGCCATTGGAAAGAATACAAGTTAAGGGTATTGTCTTGTGAAAAGTGAGGCATATGGTGGTGGTACAGTCAGATGGGTTATTGATCAAATAATTAGGGTAACTTTTTTAATTAAATCTGAATAAAATAGTGTCCATACATTATTAATAAGTTGAATACTTGCAGTATGGACAACTAGGTGACTTATACAAAAACTGGGTCATTGTTTCTGCTGTGAGCGGAGATAAGGCTTTCATCACTCAAACACACCAGGTACGTACTGTACACATAGTATATTTAAACTATGCATCACAATGCAAAGCACGGCTGCACTCTTTATATAACCTCTCCTCTGTCTCCGATGTCCTTTCACGGAGTGTAAATATGGCACTTCTGGCATTTTGTTTGGTCATTTCATTATGAGTTATCTTCCCCATTAGCCATTTTACTCAGCTGCAAAGTCTCCGTACCTGCCATCCAGCATTGTGCTAAGACAAAAAGTCAGTGCTGTGTATGCAAATATGACATTCAACGATCTAGACTTCTAGCCACTAATCTGATGTATCAGCCTTGCAATAGAGTTCCTCTGGGAGCACAAAAACATAATATATGCTTACAGACTGGAGGGGAAACTAATGGAGACCGTTTCTTGATGCTGGTTTTTGTGAGTTTTTGTGCACAAAAGCATGCGGGTCATGTACAAAGGTACAATATAAGAAGGCACAGTGTTAAAAAAGTGGTAAAAACTAATCCATTGAGATCATGAGGTGAACCACTTAAGTGTGAGTTGTTTGTTTGGTTAGCTAGAGGGAACAGCACACATATGGCTCGTTGATTATCGAAAAGTCTCTGGTGTACAAAGCAATGCTGTTTCCATGGAGCTTATTATAGAGGAGAGGGCATTCTTTGGCACTGCAGTGGGAGGTCACAACATATTTAATGCTATTAAGTACACTGTAGTGCATCATGTAATGCATGTTAAAGTAGTTGGAGGCACCTTAGAAACTAAAATGTATGAAGCTTACACATGATGCTGGCAACAGTCTCACTTACTGACAGAAGTAGATATGCATTATCTGGTGGACTATAACAAAGTACATGTACTCAAGTTAAGGAAATGATACCTTTGCATTAGTGATAGTAAGAGTACAATTCTACAATAAACTGTATTTCAATGCAAGACTAAAAGAGGCAAATCAAATGCATTATTAAGATTTTTTCCCCCTAGGTTCTAAGTCACAGGTGATGTTGCAAATTCCAGTATTTTAGTATATACTTGAGATCATGTAACTTTTGGCAACCAAAGTCATTAGTCAGCAATCATGGGGTACTGATGTTAACATTATCACTAGGAGAAAGGTAAAGTGCAGTAAATCTTTTAATATCTATCTAAAGTTTTCTAAAATTAACTCACATTTTACCACTTTGAAGTCCAACTAAGATTCTGTTGAAGAGTAACTAAAACACAATATAATGATATGAGGGCAACTGATCCTTCAATTATAAACCAGCTTGCAATACTTTGTATCGACCAATTACAGAGCGCACCATTTCAGGAGATAAGGAATGCTACAGGTTTTTTCAAGTTGCCAAAATGTTAGTACACCTCTCTGATAATGTCCATTTGTATTTAAGATAGAGCAGAGATAAATGTGTTACCTTAAAAAGAGTTCAAGTTGAGAGTAGAGGAAGCGTAGCAGGGCTCTGCGGGCCGTGACCTCAGCGTGACAGTCGTTGACCACCTGTCCCTGGTCGCTCAGATATTCCCCGTTGATACACTTGGTGCCCGTGGATAACGCCACCACCTGGGCGTGCCTCAGGTCCAGACCTGTCGAACAATATCAGACATATTTTCACCCTATTTTGCTACATTAGTCCAAGAGTTTCAAAGAAGCCCTCAGTGTCCTTCCTTTTCCAGACTAAGGAATGAAGTGATTCATTTTCCATCGGTAGGGTCAGGCTCAATGTTCTTTCACACTCTGCACCTGTTCAAATGTAACACTTTTAGACATTGTCGGCGGCTTGGCATATGGAATAAGTGAATATACATTTGTTATAATTGTGCAACATTTTTTCAAGTCATTTCAAGTGAAGGAGTGTAAAATAAAATACAGGATATTATATGAAATTTGAAGTCAAATGAAACCCAACAAAATGCATCTATTAGCCTCAAAGTGTGGATGGCAGACTGAAGTTGGTCATACACAGCCAAACTGTTCCATTTGCTCACATAGTGAAATAATAATTATCAAAAAGAGGAGAACGGGGTAAAAAGGTCATTCCACACGACAATTTGGGGTTATTTTCATAACCACAGTTCTCTGAGTCAGCATCTCTTCAGAAGCTCCTATCACACAGCACCAGCCAGGATTAGCTGGATCCACAAAGCGAGGGAGGGAAGAGACCCTCCGCCTATAAACTGGGCTGGCACCCCGCCTTCTTGTTCATAAAGTTCACCTCTTCACATTCAGCTGCACAATCGAGCGGGCCCAGTCTAAATCCAGGGAAGTCAGAAGACCCTTCTGACTGTGCTGAAAAGAGCTAAATATTGACATAGGCCTAGAAAACACAGCAAAGAAACACATAAAAGGACCTGCTGTAGACCTGCAGGCAGATGGTCACTCTGGAGGACTTATTGCAGGATACATATTTTCTTTACATGGACCCTTCGGAATTGATGCCCTGAAAGTTTTCTTCAATACACCGTGATGTTCATTTTGTAAATGATGCTGCTATTCGCAGTACAATAGAAGATAAATTGGGGTATGCTTGAAGTTGTTTTTGTCTTACAACTTTAACCCTTGCAAGGTAATTGTAGCATTTCAGTCATGTAAAAACAACAAAACAAAACGGTGCCAACGTCCACCTCTTATATTCAGTCTACGGTCTCATTCAATTATTTCTGGACAGCATGATAAAAGCTTCTAAAGAGGTCACTGTAGAAATATTCTCAATGCGAGACATGAAGTAAATGCTATGAGAGAGATCGCAGATAACAAAGCCATCCTGTCTCATGTTGGTTTTCCCTTGAGAAAAATATACTTTTCTCAGTGCAAGGCCATGTGAGAGTTTGTCTATGACTGACAGATAGACAGAGGTGGTGAAGGGGGGAGGCTGGATCAGCACGTTAACGGCATGCCATTCCTTCCTTGGCTGCCACAAATCTCTCTCATCGCCTCTGAAAGTCAGGCTTGGCTGGCTTCTGGCAGACCTGCAGGCATGGCCGGACGGGCACATGAGCTTTTATCAGCCTCGGCCCAGATGGCACTGCGGCGGTTAGAGTCCTGACACCTCCACTGATGAGGAATGGGAAGGAGGGAAGGGAGGAAAAAGTTATGGGAGGGGGAAGTGTGTGCAGTGTGTGTGTGTGTGTGGGCAGTTGAGGGAAAAAGAGGAGAAGAATAAAAAGGTAGTCTAAGGTAGGGTGGAACAAGTTCAACTTTAACTCTAGAAACTACAGCGGAAATGTTCATATAATATTTGTCTTGTATTGTTTTTCCGTTTTTTATCAATGGGACATTTGGATCTTAATAGCAAGTAAACCTTACTGTCAAGTAACTTTGGATATTTCTTTGACACCCGGTGAATGTAAGGCCAATATTGACTCTAACTAGTAGGTATTATCTTGCTCTTTCGAGCTAAAGAAAAGGGTGATCATTATCTTTAGGCTCATCACTGCCAATGACATCTTTCACATTCCATTGTTGGTAATCAAATATTGATTATTGCAGCTTTAAAATATATTATTCTATTTGAAGTTGGTTTCAATGGTTGAGACTGATGTGTTTGCGAACATAATACGTATCGATCATTTTGAGGAGAAATTATATACCTATACCCTATACAAAAGACTAGCAGTAGGAATGTTAAGAGTGATATTAATAGCTTTGTTTTCTTGACTTAGATATATCCTTTTTTATATATAAAATGATTAACATACCTAAAAGAAACAACTGACAGTGAGTATAGAAAAGGTCTTGTTAATAATAACAGTTCATGCTGACTATTCCTCTTGTGAGATGATCATTTGTATTATCACTTAAAACATATTTTAGTACCTTTTCGTTTAACTATCACTCATGGTGGAATAGTAAATTAAGGTTACACATACTCAGGGTTGAGAGGGTTACTTTGTAAATGTAATCAGTTACTGATTACTGAATACATGGCTCTGAAAGTAATCTGAATACAGTTACAGTTACGCGTCTTAAAAAAGTAACGTAATCAGATTACTTTTGGATTACTTTCTTTTTCCATCACAGATGGTATGTTTTGGTGTACAGGAGACACAAAAAGCAAAAGGAAACTGAACGTGTTTTACTGTTTTAATGGCTTATCAAGAGCACAACTGAAACATCACATCTGAAACGATGCAACAACATAATACACTTTTTGGGGATGCAGCTTGGGATCTGAGGAGTGAGGGACACGGCTTAGAAAGGGAGTGTCGCCTTCTGTCCTGCCAGTGTTGGCAGGACATGAATTAAAATGTCGAACTCGGACTTCATTTTAAGGACATGTCGGCCAGGGGTGTAGAGCTATATTTGTTTAAGCACCGGATCGGCAAAACAGGAGAGTGTGTGAACCAGTCTGCCTTGATCTATGAATTCATGTCCATGACACTCACAGTATCTGCTGCCCACAGCTGTTTTATAGAAGGAAAACCTCCTTCACTTCATAAAATCTCTGCAGCACCAGGAGGCAGCGGGAGGGTTAACTCAGCCTCTGAGAAGACGAGCGCGCACCGCCTTTCACGCACCGCCTTCGCTGTGTTTACCTTCAGAATCATAAGGCTAAAGAGCGACCGCAGGCTGATGTGTTTTAACCACACACACCTCTACACACACACGACTTAAACGCAGACTTTTGTTCCTCCATGTTTCGTTGTTATTGTTTCACTGAGCGGACCCGCCCTTTTTTTCAAACGCTCCCTTTTTTGGTCCATCTGCGGCGGTAATAGGTTTTGTGGGCTGTGATGATTCGGCTGTACCTTTAGTAATGAATATTAAATGTTGTGAGGAAATTTTTCCACCAATAATTCCAATAAGTAATCCAAAATGTATTCACTTCAGGTTTACGAAAGTAACTGTAATCAGATTACTCGTTTTTCAAATGTAACGAGAGCTGAATACAGTTACTTGATTTTTGTATTCTGATTACGTAACGCCGTTACATGTATTCCGTTACAACCCAACCCTGCACATACTGTACTGCGCTAGAAAACTACTATTGGCATTCCCTATCAGCACTGCGCCCCAATTCAGCCAGTTCTAAAAAGGTAACAGACTCAAACAATTTTATTCTCTTGCTTTTCCTTGCCGTTCCATTTCTCGATTGTTTAGATCAATTTTGCAGTGAATAATTTCTGCTGCGCTGCTCACTACCCTGCCATGAAATTGGCACCGAGGTTGCCTTCATTTTGCGGGAGTGAGGAGAGGAGGAGGATAGATGAATGAGAGAGAGAGGAAGAGAGGGGTAGATAGAGAGCCCTACAGGCAGTGTGCTGTTTTTAAACCAGGAATAATCAGCTGCATCACAGAAATACAAAAAGAGAGGGTCAAAAGGAACAAGGTAGAGTGGAGTCAAAGGCCTGAGGCACTCTTCACACACAAATACATCTGTTACTGGTGATTCAAAGATGTCACAGCCCAGGATAACAGCACTGTCAAAAAGCATGTTCATCACAGACTGAAACTACTCACTATGGCAACTGCACTATACTGTTCTGTGCTCAGTACTGTCAAGGGCCTTAAACAGGAAGACAAAGCACACACTGCCTCAATATGGCAACCGAGGAGATAAACAGACCTTGTGACAGCAAATGTAACAGAGGCACAGGTATTTATCTACACTGTATTTTGATGACTGCTCGTGCACCTCGTGGGAAAGTGAGGTAGGAAGAGTGTAAACACAGAAGTCAGAGTAAAATGCACCCATATTCAGACTGACATGCAAAAATACAATGATATTCAAGATACTTTTTAGGCTTAGTTGGATAGTTTAACGAGTGCTTTTGTATAGACGTACAGCTTCAAAAAAGGGAAGGGAGGTTATTTTATTTTTGTGTAACAGTTATGTGTTTTCCCCTGCTTCCAACTATGTCAAAAAACGTTGCCCTGCACACCTGCTCTAAAGGATATTGATTGGCCCCTGTGCCATGGGCCAGTGAGTCAGGAAAACCGAGCCTAAAGTCTTCTTTAACACAGCACCACATCACTGTCTCAGGTTTTTTTTAAGACAACGGTAAAACTGGAAATATTTTTTGCTGAACCACTTTTTCTTTTCTCACTTGAGTGGAACCATCTTTGGGCTACAGCATGTTCAGTATCACTTCTGTGTGTTCTACTCTGCCAGCACCACCATTTGGTAGAGCACATTTTGTTTCTTGATATCTTGTTGGAAAAAAAAAAGTTGAACTATTCAGCCAGCTCTACCCTTTGGTTGACATGTTATGCACAAAACAACCTCTAGATGTCACTGTGGTTCAAACAGAATGCCCTTCAGCTAGCTTCAACTGAGAAAGTTGGCAATGCTAAAAATCACTGCTGAAGAAATCACTCTTTTTGGTCAACTTTTCTAAGGTAACCATATCCTTTTTGACATATTTTAGTGGCAGGGCACTGACTGAACATAATTAGATAACTTGATGCACAAAAAAAGTTTTAACAAGGGTGTAATTATTTTTTTGAAAATATGCTCAACCAATCGGTCGAATTGTTCTTTTATGGTAAGCTTGCAATATGACTTTTTCAGAGTTTCAGAGATGTTTTCCAATAAAATATGGTAAATAAATGGCTAGATTCATGGTAATATTACTAAATCTAGTACTGCCTTATGAGTCTCAGAGAGAAAGAGTGATAATAATTTCATGCATGGCATTCAGCCCAAAATTGCACACGGATGAGCAAGTTAGGCCAACACAGGATATAGACATTTGCTGTTAGGCCAGTGGTTTCCTGTTAGGTCAATTCAGCATATACAGTAAGATGAGAAAGTATTTTTTTTATCATGAAAAACACTTTACATTACTTTTTTCCATTTTTTTTTTTTTACAATTATAATTTATTATCTTTTATGAATATATCTGGTTGTATATATTGGTCATTTTCCATAAAAGAAACAAATGTATTTGAGTTTGTGTTTTATTTGAGTTTGATGCATACAAATACTGTACTGTATATGATGATTGTTGAAAATGTACTTTTACCATAGAAGGCCAGCTCGACCAGTTGGTAGAGGCTCATAAAAACAAAACTGTGTGGTCAGTCAAAAAAATAAAATTGTTTGTGCTTATTTTTGGCCCATTTGATAAGAAAATGCAAACAAATAATTTTTCCATAGCTTTTTTCTTGGTCCGGCAGTTAAAGGGTTAATGTTGCATTCATTCCCCCACACTACACTGGTTCCCCACATGCTCTGTCTGCATGTTGGCAATAGGCCTCTCACCACCAGACTGCTTTATTTCAAACATTGGAAAGCTTGAGAGCTCCAGAATACTATAATCAAAGCAATAATAACACTTTTCACAGCCTGAATAGTATGTTAATTAATTACGTTTTACTTCACATATAAAAATGGCCGATGGACCCTTTAATTTTACATGAACAGTATTAATGCTAAGGACATCAATTATCCACACTTGGCTTTAACTACAAATAGACAGGAATCCCAAAAATAATAATGTAGAAAGTCTTCCACAGTAGTAGTCCTCATGAGTGTGATCCAACTATTTAGTATCAGTGGGCAGCAAAATGTAGTGCCACTGGAACAGGTCTCGTGGGAAGAAACTAAGTACACTCAAGTTCTAGTATACTACTCAAGTACTTGTACTTTAAATGAGTATTTTGATGTATGTTGTCCACTACATTTCTTATGCCAAATAATGTACTTTACTGTTTTTTGTCGCATTCATTTGAAAACCACTTGTTTCTGCACACCAGTTCTCTTGCGAGTCATTTTTGTCTACTAAAAATATTTGTACTCCTGGTTTTATATATGCTTGAGGTTAATGTTATGTTTTAGCGCAGAAATCCCTTATGTGTCCCTCTTAACATTTTAACACTTATTTCTTCCTAGTTTTAAATCCATAATACTTGTAGGCGTCAATAAGTAATTAATACTAATCAAGGACAAATTGTTAAAAAAGATTTACTGGCAGCCATTGTTAGGAAAAACTAGTGTACTCAGACGGAAACATTCCTATGAATGACATGACCATGAACTTTACAGTGATTTTTTAATTAATAAGGCAACTGGAACTGGCAGAGACTGCAAAGCTGCTATGTGAATCCCTTTATTCTCTGTGTTTATAAAACAAGGGAAACGTTTCCCTATTAGCTACCAATTATCTCTGAACACCATAAAGCTCATATTAAAACCATTTATCCTGAAGCAAGATGAGCTTCCAAGGTCAGCTTTCAGTTTCAATTCTGAATGTCATTTAGATCAAGCTCAATAAATCCTGTCTTTATTTTGTTCTTTCATCACTAGATGTGAGACGATTACGGTCAGTGTCAACCAAAGTGTGTTGTTTGAATAACAGTAAGATGGTACAAACAAAAAAAACCTGGCAAGAGAAGAGACGGCACCCTGTTGAATGTTTATTAGCTTTAACAAGCAACTGTTCTGCACACATAAGGGTGGCTTTGTGGAAAGCTGCTGAAGCTCTCAAATCTCTCTGCTGCAACCCACCCTGCATACATCTCTGCTGTTTTTTTTTTGTTGCCTCTTAGCAAGCTGTTTTGTAGCTGGATGCGATCACTGAACGTTAACATTTGCGGCAGCCGGAAAGCCAGATAAAGAGTGGAGAAAAATCCCTGTTTGAAAATGGATATGCAGGCTAAGAAGCGTCATTTGTAATCAACTTGTTTGAAACCCTTTGCTCTCATCTCTTTCTTTGAGTCCCTGTGGTATTTTTCCCCACTTGGAGTCTCATCACCCTGCTGAATAAAAAAGCCTCAGAAGAAGTTCCTCTTATCTCATCCTACAAACAAGTAAAAAGGAGTAATGGGGGGGTCTTTTTTTCCATGTGGACCTTCCTGATTTTTCATGTCTCTGAGCAAATCTGAACCCTGTTTACCATCTCCTCACACCCACTGCTGTCTCCGATCGATTCATATGAGATTTTCCACACTATTTGACAATGTGTGCTGGCAGTTTACTTTGGCGGTCATGTTGCAACTCTCAGCCTGGTGACGAGGCTAATCTCACTCAGGTTTGGGCTCAACTGTCTCGGTGGGACTCCAGCAAAGGGTGGAGAGGGGGGATCGCAGTCTGTCTCCAGTTCAAAGACAGACCCTGATTAATATTCTTCAGGCAGAAGCAGAGGCCTGAGACACAGGGAGGGAGAGGGAACAGGACTCCCCAGTGTTCCTGTCAAGTTGGGTGTCTGACTGCGCGGACGCTGGCCACCACACCGCTGCCGACTCGCTGCGAATACTTGGCAGCGTTACGTCTGGATCACTGAAGATAACGTGTGCTATTAATAAACAAACAGAAGCAATTACTGGGAGGCAGAGGAGAGGGATTGGATTAGGTCAGGACGAGCGCCGGTCTCACTGAAGTCTAAACTGATGAGCTGCAGCACTCCAAAGACAGCAGAGATACCAATGCCTCCTCACTGACCTCAGCTATCCCCCCCCACCCAAAGCCTGCAGCCTCACAGGGAGATAACACACCTCTGTGTGTGTGTGTATGGATTTGTGTGTGGTAGGACTCCACATGTGCAGACCTGTTGGCATTTGTGTGGGTGGGTGTGCTCTAGGGCTGCAACATTTGGAAAAACAGGACTAAATACGTTTATTTTGACTAATATTGCAAATATGATAATTCACTTTATCATAATAAATTATGTACACAATGTACATGGTGGGACTTTTTTAAGAGGATGTTCTTTTTAGACCGTAGTCTACTGTAACACTCTACAGGAAAACATAGTGCATAGTGCACCCCTAGTATGGTCATTGCTATTGACAAACACCACACATGAAAGATAAATGCATAGTCATAACTCATAGTGTCATGCTGCAGGTGAACAGCTTCCCCCTCTTCACTGTTCCTTCAGCGTGTCACTCGGTCGGGTTTCAGATTAAGTTTTAAAATGATCTAGTTAAGGTTTCCACTGTGGCTTCTGGAAGCCTTGTCAAATGTGCCTGAGCACAGCGAGTCTAGCATGCAGTGGGGATGACTGACACTCACACTCACCACCATGTCTCATTCTCCTCAGAGACTCTGAATAGTCAATAATTCATCAGGAGGGTATATTCTCCAGCACGAGCGCAAGGTACAGCATGGAGTGGCCCTTCCTCAGTTTATCATTTCTCTCTCAATCCAGAATTCTCATTTCTAGTCATCTCTTTCTATCTTTTTACCTCCCTCATTCGCTCTGCCTATATTGCAACACTTCAATAATTCAAAGTGATATATAAAAGTCAATGAAATTTGCCATACCTCGGGTCATTACGATGCCTGCCAGGGATTTGTGGCGAGCGTGCGCAGGACTGCAGCCGCCCACCAGGGACCGATACTTCTCCCTCACCAAGTGGAATATTGAATCGGCAAAGTCCTGAAAAACACAAAGGCCCTCTTAATTTTTACTCGACACACTGTATGGAGGCTGACTTCACAGGTTTCATTTTACTATAGAATATTCCTCTTACCTTATCTGTCAATGTAGTGTTTAAAAAAAAAAAAAAGCACGTAGGTTGACTTACCTGTTCGCTATGAATACATGCAGATTCATGTTAAATTCATTATTTATGTTTATCATAGTGATGTTTCGAACACTACCATACTTTAAAACTATTTGAGTTTAACAAACAAATAACAAATAACAAAAACTAATATGTTCAACAGTTATAGGATCATTCCTGCTGCTAATGCCACAAATCAAATATAACTGTAAATGTCAGCATGTAGCTGGGTTAACATGCATGTGTATTAGGGAATGTGTAGGTGTGTAAGTACGAGAAGAAAGAATGATTGCTACAAAGCCAACCATATCCTGCAAGGCTCTCCTGAAATAAATCCTCATCCAAACAGATCTCCCTCTCTGCCTATTTATTTTTGATTTCTTCTCTCCCTCTTTCTTTTCTTTTGGCCTTTTCTTCCTCTTTACAGTATTTTTTAATAGGTGACATGTCATGCTTTCCGGTTATTACCCGTCCCCTTGTGTGTTATGAAGGTTTTTATGCATGTAAACGGTGTGCAGAGTCAAAACCCTCAAAGTACACCATGTAGCGAGTAAAACTCTAACACAGAAAATACCTCCCCAAAACGCCTCGTTGGAGATACGTCACTGTCCATTTGATTCTTCCGGGTACATCATGATGTCATGTCGTCCCCGGAAACGAAATGGACCAATCCGTGGAGCCGTTACGTTACGTCCGCGGAGCCGTTACGTTAAGCCCCCGCTGATTGGTCCAAATTGACCAATCCATGGACTTCCTCACACACTCAGTGCAGGCAGCTCTGCTGATTTCTCCTCCCTGGCGGCAGGCTGATAACAGACAGTTGGGAAATTCTCTCTGCAGACCCATTCTCACAGCGTTTATCAACCTTTTTCTTTCTCAATATCAAGCCACACTTATTGTTTTTACTTCGGCTGTGACTTTGTGTGTGCTCAGCTGTGTTTCGCTGTGTATCGCTAAACAAGGAAATCACACCTCCACGGAGCTCAGCGCGATTCACAACGTCCCGACTGGTCCCGACCAATCGGAGCACACTGGGCTCACAGGGAAGGGGGGGCAAGAGCTGCAACGAGCCGTTTAGTGGAGAGAGTGAATACTGCTGAATACACATACTATACAGAGATGCTGTATGCGAAACCAATGTGATTTTGGAACATTGAACAATGTAAATCTATTCTAGTATACCTCAACAATGGAATTATGATTAGTGGAAATGGCCATGACATGTGACCTTTAAATATATTTTGACACTTTTTTATTTTCAAAAAAGCTGTCTCTGCCTTTGTTTTTGTTAAATTGTCCAAATTGTCAACATGTGTATGCATAAATGAGTGAATAAAGATGATAAAAAACAGTAGCATCGCCAACAGAAAAAAGAGATTAAGGTTATAGTCATGGCAGCTGGCCAAATGCCAACAAAAACACACACATATTACACACATATAAAATAACATACAATTGAGCCAACATTAGTGTCGGAACAATTTGAGGTGAGGAAGTCATGTAATCCTTTGACTGTGCAGTGATTTTAATCACAACGTCTGCCATTGGGAGACTTCTCTTTTCGTACAGAGGAAGTAAACACCCAGGTTTCTTATTGTGCAGCCATATACTTGCCAACACAGCTCTGCCATCTTCTATGTTCAGTTCAAGTCAGTTTTATGTGTATAGCAATTATACATTACGTCAAAGGAATTAACAACATATGTGCTTTAAGTCTATTTGTGCAAAGCAACAACCTGTAGGATTTAATACCAAGTTGACCAAATGTGACACAATATCAAATGCTAACTGATTTGGATTTCTTGATTTCTTCACCACATCTGTCCCACCAAACCAGCAATACTCAAAGACATATTGATCACATCAACCACTTCCCCTAACTGTTAATGTGTTTTCTTCCAGTGGTAGTTAAGGGCTTAGCTTCAGATCGGCCTTCACGCTAACGGTAGCAACAAAGTGGCAGCATCGTGGGCCCTTTTGGACAGATTGAGCCCCCAGTAGCTAAAAGGACATCAACAGATGCCACGGGGACGAACGCAGAGAGTAAGCGAGAAGGAGAGATTAAGGATGAAAATCTGTAGGGGTGACTGAATTAGTGAGCATATTGCTCATTATGGCCCTCGTCAGGGCTGTGAAATACTCAGTGAGAACTGATGGTACAAGAGCTCACAGCTTGTGGTGTTTGTGTCCATGTGTATGTACGCACATATTGCTGCTCTGATGATGTCAGCCTGAAGCTTTTCGGGGGGGATAGAACAGAAAAGAAATGGAAGAAAAGTCAAGAGTGGATAACTTTTTGGCTCTTCGATTCAAGAGTTATCATGACCTCTCATCAAGCTCTATAACGGTCGCATGACAGGTCGCTTCTGAGATGAGTGTACGTCCCTTTAAACAACAGGCAAGAGTGACAGGAAGAAAGGAAAGTTGTTGTTGTTTACTTTATGCTTGAATAATCAATCCAGTCAAAGACCCTGTTTGTCAAGCCCTTAGTCAGAGCAGCTCATGTTGCGGTGACAGGAATGAATAACCAGAACGGCTGAATTCTCTACATACATTCAGTGTGACCAAGGACTCTAAGAAGTCAATATATATTACCACGGTATTCACCCTTTGCAAAAGGTCAGGTATAATATACAATTGTTGAAGTACAGGCTATTCTAAAGACCTAATCTGAAATACTTGTTTTATAACGAACTTGTCACAACAGTGATTCAGAAGAAAAAAGGTTGCTGCATATTGACTCTTTTCAACGTGTTGATTATCATTGTTTTTGGAGTGTTTGAAGTCTTTTTCGAAAAGGTTTCGAAATTTCAAACCGGGATAAACAAAGATTTTTTTTATAGTCAGTTCCACATGTGTTACTTTAGTCTTTTTTGCTACATTTTTTTTTAAATGGCTTCAGTTGTTCATCTAGCAAATATGTATACAATATTTGCTTTGCCATGCTTTTTGCTTTTATTTAAATTTTAAAACAAATATCCTTGGGTTTTGGACTGTTGATGGGACAAACTAAAATAGATTTGAGTGAAAAATAATTACTAATACTTTTTAAATAATCCTTAGTTGCAGCCATGTTGTACATTTATTTTATGTTGGGTCATTGAACAGTTTGACACTAACACCAAAGTTGCTGCCAAAATCAATGAATTATATATTTGTATATCCTTTTGACCTAAATATCCCTCCCCGATAGTCAAGCCTTCCATGAAGATAGAAAAAACACACTTGTTTTGAAGTATTGATCAGCCCGGAATGTGGAATTTGCTGGTTATGTCGAAACACCTCTTACACAAATGTGAAAAAACACCCGCCTTGTTCCTGAAAGGGACAACCAATTAATTCTAACAGATTCCGGCTCGGCTTGGCAGCGTCGGTCACAGTCTGAACCCCGAGTCAAGTCCTCCATCCCTCCTAAAGGCCTTTTCATTGATGACATTACAGAGGTGAGAGAAGGTGGCAGCTCAGAAAGGCCTGCAGAGCAAAGGTGGAATAGACCCTGGCATGCGGCCCAGCTTTATGTGCCTCCACCCTGTTTCCTCCCCCTTTTGTTCTCCCTCTTCTATTCCCTTTCATCTCTCTTTGTCAGTGCCTCTTCTTTTCTTCCCATCTTTTTTGAAAGTATGACTCTTCAGGTCTCGCCTTTTATTCGTCCCTTAGCTTCCTTCCCCCTTCTCTCATGCTGATATGTGATAGAGGGCAGTGATGTGCCAGGACTAAGTCAAAGATAATACTTTCCTCATCCTGTGTGGGAGTGGGGAAACAACATAATCTACATCAACTGACACAAAATAAAATAGTCTGTGATTTCCAGCTGTGGTTCACTTCTTAACAAAATAACTCCTTTCCTGGTTTATATCAGCTTAAATCTAAACACGTAGATCTGCCTGTACTGTCATTCCTCATGTTGTCCCCTATCATTTCTCTTAACACACACACTGCTTTCCTCAGCGGGGGTTGTTGAGTGCCACCTTCAGTGTGGGCCTAATGTGGCATAAAAACGGGGCCAAGGATCTCGCTCCTCAGTCAGACAGAACATCAGGGCGGGCTGCCACACAGCGAGAGGAAGCTTCTTCATGGATGAGCATCAACGTTGCTCTATATAGCTACATTTTGGAATTTGTTTTACGAAATCTGTTTCAGGTTACTGATGGAGGCTCCCCTGGGAGTACAGGGACTGGTTGGAGCAGAAACTGCCGTGGAGGCTGTTGTGTTGCTCACCCCACCTGGTGCATCTTCCTGCATTAGTTCTGACCAATTTACTAAGCAGTTCCTCTGGGCCTCCTCAGGGTGGAGAAAACAAGCAGCAGCAGTAACTACAGCTGCAACGGATGAGATTTATTGCAGCAATACACACATTAGCTTTAATAAAGAAGAGGTGTTGCAAGAAAGAAAATGGAAACGGATCCACTGCCAAATGACCCCATTTACTCTTTGTCTTTTCATGCATCCCAGGCAGATAGGATGGCCATTTGAAGTCAAACAAAAGTGTAATGATGTGTAAAATCAACCAAGAACCAACCAACACAGGTTGAAATCAAATTAAGCCAATGGTAAACGAATATTGCATTTCCAAAACACAAACCTATTTTTGAATCCAAGTATAGCTTTGTCAGTGAGTGCTCTCAGGGTCTGCGCCCTATGATGAGGGAAGCTCATTTCACAACAAAACTACACTGAAACTACCAATCATTCTCCTCCTACTTAATTCCTGGTGGAGAAAAAACATGTTCATTGCCCAATTTTCCCCGAGGAAAATATGTTTAACATTTCTTTTGAATGCACCTCACAGTTACATTTCACTGTTAAGCGAATAAAAGTGTCGAATTACAGCCTTAATCATGCCATAAGGACAGTGAAACAAGCTACTCAACAG